TCAAAGGCAAAGATAGGTTGACTTTTAGGGTATAAGGGAATGCAAAACAATGCATCTTTTAAATCCAGGACAGAGTAGTAAGTAGTACCCAGAGATATCTGGGCTAAAAGCATATAGGGATTTGGAACTACAGGGTGGAGAAGCACTACTGCTTTGTTGATCAGGTGGAGATCCTGGACTAGCCTCCATTTGTTAGGTCCCTTCCTGACACCAAGAATAGGAGTATTATATGGGCTGGAGCATTCTATTAGCAGTCCCTGTCTCTTTAAGTCTTTGATTATGGGAATTAGCCCCTCCTTAACTTCTGACTTTAAAGGATATTGTTTTTGATGGGGAAACCAGGAGGGGTCCTTGAGATGAATTAGGACTGGGATAGCTGTTCGTGCCCCATCTACTTGTTGCTCTACTAGGGGCAAGCAAAAGTACTCTCTTGTGGGTAAAAGTAGCTGTACCCCCAGTTTGGATAGAGGATCTCACCCTAGCAGAGGAGTAGGGGTTTCTGGGACAATTAAAAAGGAGTGACAGACATGGAAATCTTTCCCCCCAGGAGCAGGCTAAAGGCTGAGTGAAATAACACACTAGAGGCTGGCCTGATATGCCTCGAATAGTAATTTTTTTGGAGGACCTGGGTCCAGGAGAGAAAGGAATAGCTGAGATGCTGGCTCCAGTATTGATAAGGAGGCTGACCTTATGCTTAACCTGGCGCTCCTCTGCTTTTACAGTGGTTACAGAGCCTGGATGAGAGGACCCATCATTGGGTGGGAGGCTCTGGCCTTGGTTGCCAGGGGAACTAGGGACAGTGTGCCTTCCATTGTTTTCCCTGACAAATGAGGCAGGGTCCTGGAGGTAGCTTTCTCCAGGGGCACTTCCTCCTAAAATGGCCTGTCTGTCCACATCAAAAGCATGTCCTTGGGTTTGGACTTTGCCCTGGGGTAGCTTCTCTGAGTGCTATTATCAGAGCCTCCTGCCACTTATTCTTTCTTTTCCTTTTCCAGGTCCTTCTTTTCTTTTTCTAAGTCCCTGTTACAGTATACAGATGTGGCTACACGGACCAATTGGTCCAGATCTCTGCTCCCTTCAGCCACCAATTTCTGAAGCTTTTTATGGATATCTCATGCTGTGTTAGAAATTTATCTTTTAGGATGATTTCCTCTTCCTGTGACTCTGGTATATTGTTGGTATGCTTCTGTAAAGCATCCTTAAGTATCTGTAGGAAAGCTACTGGAGTGTCTAAGGGTCCTTGCTGTACAGCTGTGACTTGGGAGTAATTAAGAGGTTTTACCTTGGCTCTCCTTAGATCCTCAAGAATGCAGTGGATGAAATGGTTACGGCTCCATTCATCCTTGTCATTTTCAGAGTCCCACTTAGGGTCATACCTAGGCACTGCCTGATCTCCTGTTGGAATTGGGAATTGAGGTTCCCTTTTAGGTATCCAATGTCTTTGCCTTTCTTCTCCCTCCCCCTCCTCCTCCTGTGAGGGCCCAGTTCGAGAGACAGGGCTGTAGGGCCGCTTTTATCTAAGTGATAATTATCTCCAGCTGTGACTGCCTGATCTAGAACCTGCTGTTTCTCCAGAGAAGTGAGGGTCTGAAATAGCAATAGCATTACATCTTTCCAGCTCAGTTCAAAGTTTTGGCTGACTTCTCTAAATGCCTGGATGTACTGATCTGGGTTTTTTGTGTAATTTCCTAAATCCTTTTTTATTTCTTTAAGTTCACTCACTCTAAAAGGAATGTGAGCTCTGTCCCCTCCAGGAATTAACTGGAGGGGGTAGAGTTCTATGGGACAGTGTCTAGTGTGTGAGGGAGCTGGGTAAGGGGGAAGAGGGGGAGCTGATGGAGCATTAGATGGGTTTTTTTTGTTCAAGGGAGTTTGGGGGCTTTTTGCAAAGGGTTACCATGGTCTGGGTATCTTGCCTGCATTTGTTTAGCCATTCTGGGTGGTCTCTTAGGAAAAAGAACAATTGAATGGATGGAACTTCAGTCCACTTTCCCTCCTTTTTACAGAACATATCTAATTGAAGAGTGGTGTTATAATTAATGCTCCCTCCTTCTGGCCATCTTTCCTCATCTCTCAGAGGATACTGTGGCCAAGCCTGGGTGCAGTAAAACTTGAGTCGCTTTTGCTGAAGACTTTCTGGATCAAGATCTTTCTAATGTTTTAATAAGCAGGCAAGGGGGGGTTCCTTCTTGGATCCTTGAGGCTTGATTCCCCATCTAAAAAGGGAAAATTGGCCATCTTAATAGAGGTTTCTCCTTTTATCTAAGCATCCCCAGATGAGGAGAAACTCTAGTGGGAGAGGGCATCTCACTCTCCCTTGCTCCTTCCGCTTGTGGGTAGAGCTGTGTTGGATTTACAGATAGATATCTCAGTTGTACCCACCCCCCCACCCCCCGAGATGATCTTTGACTAGTCTCTCATCTATTTTGACTTGCCTGTTTGCCCTGTGACCCAGGTAGACCTAGTTCTCCTCTACCAGCTGAACACTTGTAATTAAAAAAATAACTATCAAAGTAACTAGGAGGGCTTGCATGGCCAGAAGGAGGACCTCTTTAGAGGCATGGATGGGGACTCCTGATGAAGTAGACTTTTGTTCCACTGTATATTCTGTGAGGCATATATGCTTTCTATGAAAAGAGAGAAAGCGCGAGAGCATCTGGAGGCTTTTGCTCTGGTAAGGGGTGAATCTGATGCTTGACAAAGACAGTTAAGCCTAAATTGGAGACTAGCACTTTCTGGTGCCTGTAGGGATTTTTCCCAAACTCCCTAAAGAAAGAAGCTCACTGCTATTTACAGCAAAGGCGGGGAGGGGGACACTCATCCTGAACTGCTTGGGAAAGAGGAAGGAGAGGCTGAGGGTTGGGGGAAAAGAGAGTTTCCAGGCTCAACACATGAGGGATTATTGATCATCCCTGCTGTCCAGGTCGATCCTGCCCAAAGGCAGTACTGGAGCACTGGAAGCAAGAGGTGACCTCCACTCTTTGGCCATGGAAACCATGAAGGAAGCATAAGAGATCTGATTGTCTGTTTGCCACGGACATGGCTGGAGGGGTCTAAGACTTAGCCACCTTTGGAGCCTCAGGGCGGGTCAGGAAGTTGCATCTCCAGCCTTTGGGTGACACCAGGGAGTGCCCTGGCCAGAACACCTTTTGTGGCTTGAAGACAAACTTTCCTTTCCACTGGCTGTTTTCAGACCTCCCCTTAAGCTGGTCAGATCTTGAAAGAGAGTATTAGCGTTTAAGGAGAGGAAAAAAGAAAAAGCTTCTGTGCACTGAAGTCAAGTTCTGCCCACTTAGCCTTGGCAGTGTGGTATAATCCCCGCCTGGTGTCTGAGTTTCCTCAGATTGCCTGCCATACAGCTGTAGCGGGCTCAGACCATTTCCTCAGTTTCCCAAGGAAGAAACCCTCCTTAACAAGACAGAGAGAGAAGGAGAAAAGGTCGATCTGAGAGTTCCACCGTAGCTAGGCTGTGGTGGGGGGTCTCTCCTGGAATACAGACTCCACCAGAGTGCCGGTCACATTCCTAGGCACCCTTTCCCAGTTTGGCACAACCTATATCCACCTCAGGTGACAGCTGGTCCCTTCGTGCATCGCCAAATATTATGCACGGATGACATGCACAGGAATTTCAGGTGTTCAGGGTTCTTGAGCCTGCTCTGAGGATGAAAGCACAAGCGGACTCCAACAGCAGAGGTTGGAAAGATTTTATTTGTAGAGAAGAGAAGAGAAAGACTGCATATTGGAGAATGCAGGGGGACCTGGAAACTGGTGAACCCATGGGCCAGGGTGGGGAGTGGGATTTTATAGCCTATTTTTGCATTGCTTGACGACAGAAATGCCTTTCAAATACAAACAGGTGTTTCCTAGGGAGGAGAAGTGTCTCCTTGATCACTTGTCATCTTTTGGGACCTTCTGCAGTCTGTCCTGCAATCCTTCAGATGTGTGTGTAACTCTTTGTGCAAATTGATTGACTTCTGATACTTTTGAGTGAGGACTATTTTATTAGAATCAAATAGATAATTGGCTAATTGTATTTAACAGGTAAATGAAAACAGTTGAGTCTTAAGTTGACTCAAAAGAAAAATGAAAAGGAAAGACAGCTACCTATTCTCACATCTTTCTTCTGATCAACCATTAGACAAAATAAATTGAAGATTTGTCTTTGAATTGAAAGCAGATATACTTAGCATAGGCTTACTTCAGGTTTTTTTGTTTGTTTGTTTGTGTTTTGACTTAGAGACAGATCTTTAGATACTGATTTTTTTTTTTCTAAGGTGTTGGGGCTATCAAAACAGAACGTGTAACTTCAAGTTTTGATTGAAGTCTCCTTTATGCCTGGCCCTTTGTGATATAATCTAAGAAATAAATTTTAACTCCTCTCATCTTTAGGCAAGTTTTTATTCTCCTAATGCAGAGTCACTTCTAATTTTGGGGAAGTGGGGGAAAATTTGACTCTTTGAGACCAGTTGTTGGTTAAGCCAGGCCTTTGAGCTTCCTGGTATTCATAAAGCTATAAAGCAGCATGTTACTTAAAATCATTAATTTCTCCTTGTTAAACAAATTTAAGGTTACAAGAACCTATTTATTTGTTTGTTTGTTTACAGAGTTTGAAGTCAGGACCTCAAGCTTGCTAAACAAGAGCTCTACCACTTAAGCCACGCCCCTCGTCCTTGTTTCTTGTTTTCTTTAGTGTAAATGTCTCTTCACTCAAAAATCCTTACTAACGGCAATTGGCACTGGTTTTGCACTTTGTAATCTCGTAACGTGATTTCCATCAGATGTTCACAAAAACCATGAGAAGTCGATGAAAATCAGTCTCCTAGAAGGGAAAACAGAGCCATAGGGAAACTCTGGACCTTGCTTCCCAATCACAATATTCAGCCTCTGCTTTCCTGTCTACTTCATAAATTTTTTGCTTTTCATTTTTTTTTTTTTTTTTTTTTTTTTTTAAATACTGCTGCCTTACTACTATGGAGAATGGTTTCTATTTTCTCCTACAGAGACATCCCGATGCCTTTAGTCAGCTCAGGAGTAGAGCATGGCAACTTGAGAGAGCTGGCATTTGCAAGAATGAAAGACCTTGGAATACAGGTGAGTTTTGTCAGACAAAACTGTGGGGAAAAAAGTAATCTCATAGGCACAAGTCTGTAATACTGTCCCTCTTACACACTGCTTGTACCATTCAGGTCAGAAAGCTTGCATGTATTGAAGGTGTTCTTTTATGTAACATGTAGAAGCTGAAGCAATGGTGACAAAGGCTGAATGAAGCCTGTATCTGTATCCCCTTCTTTCTTCTACCAAAGAATGTAGTTTTTGTCAAATGAATGAGGGTTTTTTGTACCTGCTCCTGTTGCCAACTGTGTTCAACTCCTTTTTTCAAAAACATTTTTTGTTTTGAAGTATTAGGTATTTAATTCTTGACTGGCAGGTTATAGAAGAATAAGATGTGGTTCTTCAAAAGAAATTAGGTTCATTTGAAAAGACAAAGATTACTGCAGAAAATAATTAGCAAACAACACCAGTGCCCCACATATGGGCTCCCTCACCCCACCCCACCCCCATGCTTATTCAAGTCACCTATTTGTTTTACAAATATTTACTAAGCCCTAGAAGAACAATGGAGGTTGTAACTTAACTTTCTCTGAAGGTAATCTTCAAGTCACAGTGAAGCTTAAAACTCAGTCCCCTAGAAATTTGTTGGAGCTGCTGAAGAAATAAGCCAGGAGTGGTGTCCGGCCAGGGCACTGACGGCCAGGCCCTGCCTTCAGAGATTTGCATTCATTGGGTGGATAGGACCCAGGCATCTGTTGCACTGTGTGTGTTTGAACATGGACCAGGCTTTGGGAGACTTGTTCTAAGGATTGCACACTGTGTTTGTGGACTTGCCTAAGCCACTTTACTCTCTCACTCAAAATATTACGGAGAAAAAATATAGAGTTGTCCAAAGAGGACTTGTGAACAATATTGACTTATTCTGCAAAAAAAAAAAGTGATGAACGATTTTAAGTTCTCAAAAAGAAGCAAGTACATTTAGAGTAATTAACAGAACCAAACAAAATCACATGCTTGCTCTGCTGTTCAGTCTCCAGCTGTCCTTGTTCTCCATCTTCTCTGGCCCCTCAGAATTCTGCTGCTGAGGGGACTGCAAGGCCTCGTTACTGACACTCCTTATCTATTCATTCTATCCATCTTTTTTTCTTTTTTTTCTTTTTTTTTTTTTTTTTTGTGTGTGTCACTGGGATTTGAACGAACTCAGGACCTCAGGCTTGCAGGCAGGCACTCTACTGCTTGAGCCACTCTGCCAGCCCTATCCATCTTCTTTAACCCGGCCCCCTCAGTACCCTGGCTCGCCTTTATTAGAAGCTTGGGAGTGAATCTGAACATGGGCATTAGAGCATCACCAAAGGACATCCAGTTCCCATAGAAAGTAAGCACATACCATCTCTGCCCCACAAAAGAACAGGAAGAAAGAAGCAGCACACAAGTTTCAGTGAGAGCATGTGACTATAATACATCCACAAGCAAGCTGCTATCTAGAAGTAATGTAGCTAAATGATAGCATCTGCATCTAATAGATTAACAATTACAGAGATCAGTGACCCTTGTTTGCTATGCGATCACAGCAGCAAAATAGTATCCTAGGTTCCTTCCTGGGGCATGGAAATAGCTTGCTTTTTTGCAGAACTGAATAATGAGCTCTTACTTTTTCTTGGAATTCTATGCATATATGGCAATCCTTCATAAATATATTATTAGTAGAATAGCTTGCATGATTTCATCAGATTTCCTGGAGTGATCTTTTCTCACTGGTAGAAAATGGTAGAATCCTGAATATAATGTTTGTTTATGGTTTTTTCTCTAGGGGAGACTATTCCATAGGACATATAATTGAATAACGTAAGGGTTTTGCAATTATAAAAGCCAATGTGTAGCATGCATGCTGGATTGTGGAATAGGGAAGTTGCATCACAGAGGACATCTGGCCATGCAGACTAGGAATTGCACTGGCATTGTCTGAAGGCAGTTTTATGCCGGCTGGGAATAGTCAAAGAGCCATTTGTGATTGTGGTTCACCTTATGTAGTACATGATTCTAGGCTCTTATTTTCCTTTATCTTCCCTGCCTTCCTTCCTCCTTTCCCTCCCATCTTTTCTGCTACTGTACCTTTCTCTGAAAGAGAAGAAGAAAAAATGCAGCTTTTTGACATGTCTAAAATGATACTAATATGGTAACATTAAAAAAATAGAGATGGTTTTTAAATTTTAGGAATTTGCTTTTACTCTTCTATATACATAGTTTGGCTCTGAACTTTCATTTGGTTATATCCCCTAAGCAAAACTATTTTCTAGCTTTATGGCATATTTCCATTACACCCAAGATTGTGTTATATTTTGGTCTCTTGAATTCTAAATTTATTTTTAAGGCAAAATAGTGTATTACAACTTCATAAGTTTCAATTCTGTTTTCTTCCATCCTCAAATTTATTAAAGATGAGTTCTTTTTAAAATTCACTGCTTTTATCTCAATGTAAATTATGTTCAAACTTAATTTTGAGCCCAGGGTTTACTTTAAATAAAAGAAAGGTTTAAATGACCATTGACTTAGTTACCATTTTAATTTTTTGGCAGTGTCGAGATGTGAGAACCAGAGAGGTTGGAATCCAAGAAATTCATCACAAAGTACGGCCATACCAGGTCAGTTTCTTTTAGGTATTTGCCAAGCTGGACCATCACCTTCTTCCAAATAGGACCAGCCCCTATGAGTGAATGAATAACCCACAAATCAGAGAATAAGTGAGGATTAGATACAAATATCAAGCCAGGAAACCCTAATATGGGGGTGACTGAATTAGAGAAGAGCCAGGTTAGGAAAACCAAGTCTGTATATCATTCTAGACCAGCGCCGTACAACAGAACTTTTTACTTCATGAGAAACACTCTGTAATCTGAGCTGTCTGTCATGCTAGCTACTCATCACACGTGACCAGCGCTTGAAATGTGGCTAGTACAGATGAGGAGCTGAGAGCTCTCTGTTACTTAATTTTGATGCAGTCACATGTAAATAGCCACATGACTAATGGTGCCTTTGGATGGAGCTTATTTCTATCTCTTTGCATATAACTGTTAAACTCTTTCCCATTGGTGATAATCAGATGAATAAATGGCACTTATTAACAAGGGTTCCACAAAAATTAGGTGTGATGCCCTCGGGCCTTCATCATAGGTAATGAATTAATTTCTCTTTTATAACTATGTGCTGAATTTACTGTGGGGTGAACTTGTGGAACCCCATTTGAAGAAGGCTGGAATAGATGATCTCTGCACTGGTTTTCTATTCTTAGCATGAATTGTGTATTTGATTGACACTTTATACATTTGGGACTTTTTAAATCCCATCAAGGAACAAGGGACTCATATCATCTTCCCCCTCCCTAAGCAGATTTTAATGGAGGAAGAAAAGACTAGAAAATTAAACCATTGAACAGTAGACAATTTGGGGGCAAAAAGGAGTGCTCCTAAGAGCTACACCTCACATAATCTGTAGTTTGTGTTAGAGACTGGGAAGATCAACAATTTAAATTCATAGAAGCATTCACTGAGCTGGATATTGGTAAGAATCTCAAGGTTAATTAAGTTCAAATATGTGTAAAATTATTCTCCATTTGTAATAGTCCATGAGCAAGCCATGAACTCTTGTTTAATCTTGGTGCAATTTGAAAGAAGACAAGTAAAAAGAAACATAATTATTGATGATTCATTCTTTGTTCCTAACTAAACACATAGAATTATAAAAATGAACTTGGTTCTTTAATTTTGAAAAATACTTTTTGTGGCTTTCCATTCAACAGGTTGAATTGGTAAGGAGAGATTATGTTGCAAATGGTGGCTGGGAAACATTCTTGTCCTATGAAGATCCTGATCAAGACATCCTGATCGGCCTCCTGCGCTTACGGAAGTGTTCTGAGGAAACCTTCCGCTTCGAGTTGGGTGGAGGTGTTTCCATAGTCCGAGAACTGCATGTGTATGGAAGTGTGGTCCCTGTGAGCAGCCGGGATCCTACGAAATTCCAGCATCAGGTGTCCTGTGTTCTACTTCTGTCTGGTTTATAATTAAGAAATTGCCCAGTGGAAAAAGAGAAAGGAGTGAGGTGGGAAAGAGAAGTATAGAAACAGAAGAATCCATATTTTTGTTGTTCAAAGATATTTTCTCTCCACATTGCTCCTTTAGGAATGTTGGGGGCAAAGTGGGCACAAACAGATCCAGCCAAACGGAGTATCAGATCACACCATATGAATTTACTGCTTTGAGAGTTAGAAGTCACCCTAATACTGGCAATTTTACATGGGTCAACTTACTATGAAATCAAATGAGATATGAAAGCACTTATGAAATATTAAAGCATTTCATAAATATAAGTTGTGTTATATATAGTGGAACCTTAATCTAGCCCCAAACAACCTTAACTTAGGAATACATTTTAAATTTCAGAAAAACGTGTTCAAAGCACTAATGGTAGGTCTAGGGTAAGCCCCAAGTTTGATGTAAGAATCTTGCCTAGCTGCTAAACCCTTTTAGAAAGTGGAGAAGCAACTCTAAGGCTTGCTACCCCAGACTTGTATCACCTGGAAACTGTTAGAAAGAGATGACAGCCAAGAGGGAATTACCCGCTTGCTGGGGCTAGATGGCATCATCCACAGAATACCACTTGAGACTTGTGGGGAAGTTAAACCCTTTTTATAGTCAGCTCCAGTATGCTTTTGGTATAATTGCATTTTTTTCCTTACTTTCATAAATAGGTTGTCATTCTTTGTAACAGATTTTAGCAATACTAAATTATAGTCTTCTTGCTTTATGGGCCTCTATGAATGGACTTCTATCCTGTCTTAATCCCCCAACCTCTTTGTTACTCCTTCTAGGGATTTGGCATGCTGCTGATGGAGGAAGCAGAAAGAATAGCTCGAGAAGAACATGGATCTGGGAAAATCGCTGTTATATCAGGTGACTCGGGAGGGGGAGCTCATGATTCATTCCCAGTTTGAACTTGTTACCACAGTGAAATCTACCCTCTGGGCTCTTGTCCTTGTTTATGATTATTGTGTTTAGAATTAGACCAGGGTGACTCATGAATGACTTTGTCAGACACTTAGGAAAATCCTGAAAGCAGTTTGGCAAACTAGAGATTTTAGAAACACTCCACCTGTGAGAGCACAGGGCCAATAACCCACGTCCTCTCTTCGCTGTCTGTCACACTGAATATCATGGTCAGCTCCGGTCTATGCTTTGTGCCCAGTTACTCTGTCTGGGGAAGTAGAATTCAATGATGTGGATCCAGGGAAAATGTAGACAATGTAGAAATGATCACTGTTACAATAGAACCTCAGCTGCCAATGCAAGGTGTTTAAGACAGAGTTCTTCCCCTTCAATACTGTACTCATTGCCTTTGATCTGGGAGAACATCTTTCCCCTGTTCGGGACAGCAGGGGAGGAAGAAATTTTCCTTAGTCTTCTTAAAGAGTTCCTGTTTGGTCTGAAAATTAAGTTCACAAAGACAAAAGGAGGAAAGTATACAAATTTTTTAATGTAAATTTTGTGGGACAAAGGAGCCTTCATAAGGAAAGGAAGACTCAAAGAAAAGGTTAAGCCTGGGTGGTTTTTAAACTAGGTTTGGTGAAGAGTGGGAAAATATGAGATAGGAAAGAGGTATGAACTGAGCAGAATAAATTGGGGGGGACTTGGCAAGGCTGTGCGCTTAGACTCCTCTTGGTGTCAGAGGAAAGAGAAGGCACCTCTCATGTGAGGGAGTCTTGTGTCCTACTTCCAGGGACATCAGAGAGCCCTTCCTGCACACACTATGTTCTTAGATTCCTCCAGCTTTTGACAAGACACCTACTTGAGGGTGGTGTGTTTGAATCCCATCAGGAGCTCCTTCATTCCTTACCTAGGACATCATAAAACTGGGGAAGTGGATGGGAAAAGAAATTCTGGTGTGAGTGAAGCAGTAAATGACATATACAACCTTTCACTCCTGCTCTTTTTGTTCTTTTGTTTTTGTTTTTGTTTTGAGACACCATGTAGTCCAGGCTGGCCTTAAACCTGCGATCCTCTTGCCTCATGCTGCCAACTCCTGGGATTACAGCTGGGAGCCACCATACCCAGCTTTTGTGGCTACGTTTTAGTTGTTGTAACCATACAAAAAATGGCTAATTCCTAGTAGGAAACTAAGATAGTGAGAGCCAAGATCAAAATTTAGATTGTTCTCTCCCAGCATTTGTTTTCCCACTAGACTACTACCATCCAAAAGCTTAACTACACCTTCTGAGAAAATAATCTTTTCTGAAAATGAAAGTTGAAATGAGATTTAAAAAAAAAAAAAAACAGTACATTGTTGCCAATCATTAAACCAATATCCATGTGCAGGTCTTAATGATATAATTATGCAAATGTAATCACACAGGCTCACTTAATCATTTAGTCTGGCTGTGGTTTTTGGTATCACCCAGATTAATATATAGTATTTAACATGTCTAGCTTTACATATTTTTCTCTGTTATCTTTAATCCCATAAAAAAGAGGTAACTTACTGAGTCTCACCTGAGTGGTACTGATATCTGTAATTAAAAAAAAAAACCAAAAAACAGTGTTTCTCTTTCAATTGCCTGACCTGTGGTTGACCAGAGGTATCAGGAAAGGACCAGACTGATTTGGAACCCATATTGCATGTGCATGTATGGAGGGTTGATAACACCTGATATTTCCATGGCCCCTTTTGCCAGAACACGGTCAGCATTCTCATTACAGAACTTCTGAGAGTATAATGTGCTTAGGAATCACCTGCAGAGCTTGTTAAAATGTGGATTCTGACTCATTAGGTCTGGCTGGGGCCAGAGAGCCCACGTTTCTAACCAGCTCCCGGGCACTGCCTATGCTAATCAGACCACATTTGAATGGCAAGGTTTTAGATTCTCTCCCAAATGTTGTATCCTCTTCCCAGTCTAAGGGAAGGATGACTTCTCACCTGGCAACGCTACACTCCCAATGACTAACATTCAGTCACATTATTTTCTGGTGTCTGTGTGACCCCAGTCAGTTTCACAGCTGATGAGCATCGTATTGCATCACTGCCCGACATGATTCCATCAGCCTTCCTGACATCCGTCTCTCCTGAGAAATGTGGCATGCAGCAGGTCCCTTGCTTGCCTGAAGTCATATCCAATTGCTCCTAAGAGCCTCAGTGTCTGCTTTTTCTGAGCAGGGTGTCTTTCTAAGTGGAAAGCAGCATCTGTCCTCTTTGCAGCTTTTTATCATAATCTAAATGATAGCTCCATTTTACATCATCTGCATGGGGAGTTTCTAAAAGAACAAGAAAACCCCTGCTCAGGGTAACAGAGAAGAACCTTTCTCCTCATTGGCTGGTATAATAGGTCTGCTGCATTCTACACAGGGAGGTTCTTCTGGCCAGTGGCCTTCATTAGGAACAGCCCTGGAAGAGTTCTTTGAGAGAATGGACGTGGTGAGTATTATTTCCTGTCTCTCTGGCTTGGAAGCCCTACCATTGCTCTCTGTAGAGGAAATCACAGAGGGCCTTGACTTTCTGTTTGACTCAAGCTCTGGTAACCCTGCAAATGAAAACACTGAACACATTTGCTCTGTGGGTGATGCATTTTATTTCTCCTACTTAGGAATATATCATATCTGAATCAGACACCTGAAGTATCCATTTTTCAGAACCTCAGGGAGGGTAGATGTAAAACATTTATTATTGCATATATTTTTAATGTTGCCTTTTTCCTTCCATGTTTGTTCATTTTGGCCTTGGTCTTTCTGATTTGAGTGCAATAATTGTGTGTGTGCACGTGTGCGTTTTATACGAATGTTTTAATTGCTTTTTGTATGAAGTCAAGCAGTTGTTCTCTGTACATTGATCACCAGAATGATGATTTGTAGACTGCATTTCATTATCAACACTCCATTAGATGTGGCCTATAAGAAGAGACAGTGGCTGGCAGGGGGTGGGCAGGGAGCCAGGATTCATTCCTGCTTTGCCAGTAGCTCTCCTTGTGATCTCCATGGACCTTTATTTCCTTACTATAAACAAGTCAACTAGGTCATCTTTTACAGTTCTAACTATCTAGAATTCTTTTGCTTGGAATATTAACGTTAGTTCTCACTGTGACCACTTAATGCTTTGCTGATTACATTTTAAGTAGACTCTTCTGATACTACATAGAAGACTCTTCAATTTCATCAGTAATGGATCTCATTCTCATTGCAGGTTGGGTGTTTAATGATGAAAATGGTGATGACAAATTTTCCCATGGGCAGTTTTCTTATCCATGATTTGGGGGAACATAGTAACCAGGGTCACAATTGGTAATACTCAGTGACCTGACTGTCCACTTTTCTCTGACCTTGTCCTCAGTTTGTAAGTCCATCCTTGCTATGGGTCTGTAGGCTTTGCTGTAAGTCCTGCACAGTGGTGGCGAAGGCATTCTGTCCTGTTGTAACTAGTTGCTTAAGTGAGAGACAGAATCATTTATCATTTTGGTTACCCTGACTGTAAGAGTAGTGCATTATATAGAATTTTTTAATTATGTTCTGAATCTATGACTTTCCCGCATCTTGCCAGCAGACTTTCTCTGTTACTTAGACTTACAATGTTTTGATTCTGCCTCTAGACTGTATTATTAACTATACAGTAGATCTGATTCAATCACTAGTCACAAAGATTCTGTATATTCTCACTTTTCCCTATTAAAAACAAACCTTTAAACCTCAGTCTATTTTATTGATAGTTTTATAAACTAGTACTACATCTACAGCTACATGAGGAATTGAAAATGTCCTCATTTATCAAAGTCAAATGAAGTACTTTCTTAGAAAGAGAGGCTTTTAAGTGTATTCATTCTATTTTAAGTACATAATGGTTTTAGTAAACTGTGTTTTAAAGTTACCCATCAATTTAAGTGTGAAAATTATTAAAGCAAAACTGAAGTCTTTTAGCTTCATCCCATCAAAATCTCTAAGTGTGTCACAGAAGAGGGCTAAGATGTTGTGCTGCCTTCTAGGGTCATTCAGATAGACTGGGCAGCAAACTCAGTTTGCACTCCATTGACTGTCCTCAGAGCAGGGTGGACAAGTTTTCTCCTTATTTAGACTCCAGACTATTTCGCCACTTGGATGAATTGCTTCAGAGTAAGAAAATACTCTTTTTTTGCATATAAAACTGGATAAATCAGTATTACAAAAGCAACCACTTTATAAAACAATGTGTAGGCAGGAAATAACCATTAATTGCTGCTGAGTTTCAAAGCAATTAATTAGTTCTTATTAAGTGCAAGTGCTTTAGCGCCTTTTTCCAGTTTACCCATGTAGCTTCTATCAACACACATTTGTTTAATATTAACAAGTTGTATTGACTTAAAAATGGTGTTTATCTACTTGGCTGATCCACATTCTTTCCTTCAAATATGTCAAGATGAAGCAGTTTTTCTCTTTCCTCATGTGTGGTGTAAGGTGCAAGGAATTATACTATAGAAGCTAACTGCAACATTTGAAATGCCATCACTAACAATCACCATGGAAACAAGATCTCTGATGTCACATTGCCTGTACCATTTCCAGGAGGGCAAATATAACTGTTGATAGCCACTATTTAAAAAGCCATTTAACACCCTAACAGAATGAGCTTTTTTCTTTTGGCAGTTTTGGCTAGGTATCAGATTTAATCATGTTACTGTTTGAATTTGCCAAGCTAATTGCTATGCAGTAAGACGAACAGCTATTCCCTTAGCTCACCCTCCTACTTTCGTCATAAGCAGTATTCTATTTGTGTTCTTTCAAGTAGAAAATTAATATGGCCATTGGCCAAGAATTGTACAAGGCTGATAGATCACACAGTGATGGTGAGAAATAGGGAAAATGTCTGAATGGATGATGATAGAAATCACTGAAGTCAGAGGCGGATGGCCATTTTGTTTAAATCTTCTAAAAAGCTCAAG